AGGTTCTACTGATTCATATCCCTGCATAAAACCTTCCAATGGGTGACCATGACAAAGAGAAAGAAGTCCAATACCTGACCATGACCTTCAGGGCCCCACAAGGTCAGGTCCCTGCTCACATCTCCCACTCACCTCCTGTTGTGCTTTATCTCCTGAAAAGGCATGTGCCTCTAGTGGTATGTGCCACTTTCTGTTCAGGGCATTCAGTTCACCGATATTTTCGAGCCCCTTATATATGCTAAGCACTGGGCCAGACCATGCTGTGACCTGAAAAGGAATCTAACTTTGAACCTAAAGGCAACAAGAAGCCATATGAGCCAGAGAATGACATGGTCAGAGACTAAGCAAAAGGGACCTATGACTTGCAGAAGGGTTAGGGAGTTGAAAGGAATCAAGTCTCCCATAAACAGATGATAAAGTTTGGGTTTGTTCACTGTCTTCTTACTTGTAGTTAGACTTACTTGCTCAGAAGGTGACCTATGTGGTTCCTTTTGATTCTTAAATTTCTACTATTTCTATCATCATTTAGAGTTTTGGATAGCATACAGCAGAGTCTTCCGAGAAGAGGCAGGTGGCTTCCCCTTAAGAGAACAAAGTGACCTTGAACTCAAAAACGAGAATGTGTACAACCATGGCAGATGAAGAATCAAGATCATTTTTGTTTGCTATGCATTCAGAGGTCTTGGCAATGTGCCCATTCTTTTGGGTCGATTTATTATAAATAAGGCATTGTCCTAGCTGTCAGAGACTTGGAGCAATACATTGTGCTGCAGACAGCTGCTGTGACATGGGAATGGCTTTTAAGCAGAGAGAGAACATTTATTTCTTTTTTTCAAGGACAAAAATATAAAGTCACTAGAAGAATTCACCTAGCCACCATTATGAAGCAAGGCAGTCCCTTGGGAAAAGAATGTCCCTGAATTCCAACCTATTCCATATGTTAATGGAAAAGAAATAGCCCCAATAATACACTGTTGTGTCCTCAACTGACTCCTAAAGATTTTTTCTTTTGTTCATTTCTTTTTTTAAAATGACATCTTTACTGAGATGTATTTCATAATCCATAAGAGGATTTCACATACCTTAAAAGGTACCCTTTTGATGTGGACAATTCGGTGGTTTTGAGTACATTCACAAAGTTGGGTCACCACCATCGCATTCCAGAACAATTTCACTCCCCCCAGAAAGAAAACCTCTACCCATTAGCAGATACTCCTGGTTCTCTCTTTTCCCCAGACCCTGCAACCACTAATCTACATCCTGTCTCTATTCTGCCTATTCTGAACATTTCATATAGAACCAGAATCATAGAATATGTTGCATTTTATGTATGGTTTCTTTCAATTAACATAATTTTCCAAGTTTCATCT